TTTTTCTTAACATAATGTGAAAATACAAATCTTAAAATCATAAGAGTATCATGCTTAATAGTAAAACATTAAAACCTATCTTTCTTTGTCCCAGGGTCATTTAAAAAGCTGAATGCTTTTTCTCTTCATGTAACAACAGAAATTCACAAGATGAAATTAAAGTTATAATGTTCAGCAACGTCATGCATTATCCTAATCATCAGCAGTGAAGGAAAGGCACAGGCTTTCACTGTGTGACATGAGAAATCAGTAACTTCATGAATGTTTTCAAGTCTGCATGTCCTGTTATTTCCTGTTAAAGAACATTTGAAATGTTGGGACCAAACATCAGTTTAAAAAAGAAAGATATAACCTGCTTCAGATCCCTTAAAAATTTAACTGTTCAAACATTTTGAATAAACATGCTACACAAATTCACTATTCTCTCCTCCTCTGGGAAATCATCCAAAAACAAGAAGAGATATTTTGCCAAAAAATAGCATAGAAACTACAAAATACTTTGAAGTAGATGCCAGTATCAGTTGAGTTTTCGTAAATGCACCTTATGTAACAAAGAAAAAAAGAGAGAGCAGATTTCAGTGGTACCAGATCTCAAAAAGTGAACACTCCCAAAATTTTTCATCATTAACATAAAAACTCTAAATGGCACAATGAAGAGAATGTGGGGGCATGACCATAACCTCATGATTAAACTTAGCATGACATGTAATGGACATGAGCTGCGGGTTTAGCACAGTGGTGGACAGCTTGCCTGGAACAGTGGCCATAGGTCTGATCCACTGGAATCACAACAAAAGTAATGGATTTCAGTCACTGCCAATGCTCAATTTAAAAAAAAGTAATGGACTAATCATTAGCCAGTTTCTTCTAATATAATAATTGAGAATTCAGCATCAATTATAAGATATTGCTACCAATGACAAAAAAGGAATCTGAACACAAAGAAACACCAGAAAAAAACTAAATAGAATGCCCAATACACTACACAAAATAACTGACTATATACAAAGAATATAATATCTAAAAATACATACAAATACTCAGGGATAGACGAAAAATAAAGGGCTCTGTGTCATACATATAATAACAAAATGCAACATGGTTTCTGTATCCTCTTTTGCTACAAAGATGATATTATTGGAACAAATGGTAAAAGGACAATAACCTGCATAGATTATTGCAATTATATCAAAATGATTTGATCATTTTATTGTGATTATGCAAGAAAATTCTTGTCCTTCAGAAATGCTTAGAAATTTTCAGACTAAGTATAACCATGTTGGCAAGGTATTCATAAACCTTTCAGAAAAAAAGTGTAAATAAGTCTATACGAATACATATATGGTAAATATGGACATATACTGGAGGGAATGAAGGTATGAATATAACAATATTTTTGTATGTCTACATAAAAGTATATATAAATTCAAGTATAAAATTACACAAAAACAGAAGAAAAAAGCTAATGTATAAAAATGTGAATACATGCAGATGGGTGAAGGGTATCCAAGAATTCTTACAACTTTTATCTGATCATGAAATTACATCAAACATAAAATTAAATGTCATAGTATTTGTCCAATATTGTCAGTTTTTCCCCACCCTCTAGCCCAAGTAATCACCAGTCCAATGAGTGTGACTATTATAGATTTCCACATATAAATAAGATCATGCAGTATTTGTCTTTCTGTGTCTGGCATATGTTAGCATAATGACTTCCAAATTTGTCTTTGTGGTCTATAAGAATTGTAGAAACACAAAACAGTATCTGTATTGGTGAATAATGCTAAAAGACTACTGAGAAAGGGAGAGGATATTTATTCTATGATTTTACCATTTTGCATCATTTCCACTATTAATATTATTATCTAGCATGCTTTCATTTTTTAGAGTAAAAAGTAAAAATACTGCACTAAAAGTTCATGTGTAATGCAACTGAAATCAGATAAAGATAAGAGTTAATATACCACTTAGTGTAACTATTAGATTGAAAAAAATTAATATAAAAGAAAATCTTAAAGCAATTAATGACCAAGTTTGCAATAAAATAGAGGCAGAAATTAAATAAAAATCATAGTAATTTTATAGTTTTCATTCAATAACTTATTACCCATTATTTATTTGCTTCTTATTATATGTTCATTATAACTTTCCAAGTACAGTGACAAATAAGACATTATAGGTTACATCATAATGGGAAAATGTATTAACAGAATAAACACATATACCTCATTTATTAATTGTATATATCAGAACTGCTTTGAAGTAAATAGAACTTAACCTCAGATTTAAGAATAATTGTGAATACACAGGAGACAATTTTATAATCAAATAATTGTGGTTTATGACTCACTTATTCATGATATTATATTACTTTTCTTCTCCAGAGCTTCTTCATAGCATTTGTCATTTCTGAGTTTCTCAGAGTATAGATTAATGGGTTCAGCATGGGAGTTATGACTGTATAAAATACACTTACTGATTTGTCAATAGGAAAAGTCTTAGCAGGTCTTGCATATATGAAAATACAGGGAGCAAAGAAGCAGACAACTGCAGTGATGTGGGAGCCACAGGTTGAGAGAGCTTTCTGCCTTCCTTCTCGACTAAGATTCTTTAGAGAGTGCAAGATGACACCATACGAGATGAATAAGAACAGCAATATAATTGAGCACATCAGTCCTCCATTGGCCACCACTAAGACGCCAATGACGTAGATGTCAATACAGACAAGCTCTAATAAAGGGTACATGTCACACATAAAATGATCAATGACATTAGGACCACAAAATGGAAGCCCATAAATAGTGCTGAGTTGAATTATTGAGTGCAAAAACCCTCCAAACCAAGCCACTATCAACAATACAACACACACCCATTTCCTCATAATAAGCAAATAATGCAAAGGCTTGCAGATAGCCACGTAGCGGTCAAGGGCCATTACCAATAGAAGAGAGACCTCTGATCCACCCAAAAAGTGTTCTGTAAAGAGCTGAATCATGCAAAACTTGAAGGATATGGTATTCTTCCCCAAAAACAAGTCTGAAACCAATTTGGGAGAAATTGTTGTTGAATAAATAATATCCACAAATGATAAACTAGCAAGAAAAAAGTACATTGGTGAGTCCAAAGTCTTACTTAGACTGACAGTTATGATAATGAGCAGATTTCCAGAATGGTCAAAATGTAGAAGAGCAAGAACAAAACACAAAGAACTTTCTGCTCTTTTGGATTCTGGGTGAGGCCCAACAGGACAAAGTAAGTAACATTGTTCCTTGGTTCCATCTATTTTGTTTTTGTTGCTGGTTTCACATGTAAAAAGAAGCTTACCTATATCACAATAAAATATCCTTAGAAATATTGTAATTTTAATCTCCATTCATCCACTAAAATGGATATGAAGTATCTACTTTTGTTAAGCAACCTACAGTTGATGTCTGGATTACTAAATTAACTTAAACAGTATTCTCTCTCCTAAGTAATTAATACATAGTAATGGGGGTCAGACAATTAAGAGCAATTTGACAAGTATTGGTAGAGATATGTTTCTTTATGTCATTAGGAAATTCAGTGAAAAGATGTATCCTGTAGAAAGCCATAAAGGTATCATAGTAAAAACTCACTTAGGTAATTTACACAATTGTAATGGGTGAATTATGAATTTAAAACTATAGACAAAAACACAATATATTATTTTCTAATGTAGCTACTTTAGAACAATGATTTTCATTCCTCTGCTTTCCAGTAACATGTTCCTCTTTTCCATTTGGGACCTAAGCCACAAGCATCCTAGCATTCACTTTTCTAGGAACACTATTTTCATGATGGTATATGGATTCTCTACAACAATACGTGCCTTCTCTGTAGCTCTCTTTCCTTTCTGCATCCTCACCAGAATCAGTTAATATCTATATTTCCACCAACACTGTCTTTCTCCAAAGCAAGCTAGGCTATTTCTATCAGAAATACTAAAACTATTCAAGCATCAACCCATTATTCAATCCCAGAGCTACTTCTATATTTTTAGAGATTATCAACAGCACCCTCACTTCTCATTATAAAATGCTGTATTCTTTTGCTACACACTGGAAGGTTTAAACACCAAAAATGTATTTTCTCAGGATTCTGTATGCCAAATATTCAAAATCAATGTGTAGATGGTGTTGATTCCTTCAGAAGACTATGTGAGAAGGATTTGTTTCAGGCTTATCTCCCTGGCTTGTACATGACATTCTCTCTATATCCAAATTCCCACTTGTGCAAAAGACATCAGTCATATCGGATGGGGCCCATCCTAATGATATTATTTTATTACCTATATAAAGGTCCCATCCCCAAATAAAGTCACATTCTGAGGTGATGGTGATTAAGACTTTAAAGTATAAGTTTGGAGGAAAGACAACAAAACCATAATTGCTTCATGTGACCCAATATGACAATGTGTGACTAAGAGCTGTCACATCTCAAATATCCAACACAGTCATTGAAAATACTTCTCAGTGTCTTTAGTTAAATATTCCTTCCTTCCATAACCTATATATGCTTAAAGTATTCTGAAGATGGTGAGTCTTCAGCACTATATCTCCCCTAATTTTCAAACTTATACCTTCATCTATTTAATAACACTTCCAGATCAATAACTTTTGAGTAATTTTTAAATTTTTTCATAATAAATCTATTCCTTCCAAGGTTATTTAAGTAATGAAATAGTACCTCTTCCCATGTTATTGTTCAAGAGCAATTCTAACAGTGTTTTTTACTCCTTCATTCCTCTAATATTACTTATTCATACATTTGATATCCTATTACTAGTTCAATAAAATGCACTCTATCATATCCTAAAAAACACCAGCTGAGATCCATGAAACCCTCTCTAGTTTACCTCTTACATTATTCATTTACTATACATAAATATTCACAATGCTTTTACACATTTTTTTCATCTGTTCTTTTATAGATCCTAGTTTCAGAAACCATGGCATATATCACAACCTCTAAAATAAAATAAATATTGTAAAAAGTATATTGCATGTTCAACCTATGTCTATTCAACAGAGAAGAGGTTACAGTACTGTTACATTGTGTCATATCAATCAAATAAGGTGAACTTGAAGCTCACAAAGTATCTACTATCTCCTACAGGCTAAAGGTCTACATTGTCATCTAAGGAAAGAAATCTTGGTAGTGATGAGAAATCATGTTTTCACCATAAGTCTTCTATTTTCCCTTACAGAAATATAACTCTTGATCATATATCATGGCTGCTAACTTAATTTCCTTTAATTTTATGTATTTTGACACATATTATATAGAACTTGACCAGCAACATTCTTCCTACACAAGCTTTTTTTATCATTTAAATTCTTAGGAACTCAAGTGATAGAATTTACTATGTAATAAGAAATTCACCCTATTGCAAAATTGATTTCCATTACCAACTATTAAAGATTTATCTTTTGGAACTTTGTTTATAGCTTTAAGGAGAACTTTCCACCTCACTGGTAAAGTTCTAGAAACCCCTCTTCCATCTAGTATGCACTCAGAAGGCAAAAAAGTGTTCTTTCTTGAGGATACATTTGAAATCACATGAGTATATCAGTCCATTTTCTAGAGAGTCTTTTAAATATTTTAGGAAATCATGACCTGCATTGCAGAACTGTTTCAAAGGAATGAAAAAGTGTACTCAGAATATTTATAATACTTTTATATTAGGATAATTTATCAAAATGCAAATAAATCCTATGTACACATAAGAATATAGAAACTCACCTTTTAAACAGAGAAGGTTCTCCCTCACAAGTTATTTTCTAGTAACTTCAATAAAGAATTACTACCATTCATCTGTTTAGCTCATCTCATCCTTTCTGTAGCTACAGTCAAATAATTGTACTTGAGACTTGGAGAGGTCATTTTAAACCCTTTTTAGATCATGATTTAAGCCTAACAGGCCACCACTGAAATCATTATATCACTTACACAGAAGACAGCATCTGTACCTAAAGTGGCAAATATCACTGAAGATTTTATGCCTTGTAACCACATTAATTATGGAGTCCTACAATTGGCATGTATCCAAGAATGATTCATGCTTAATAAAATTCACCAATTTTTAAAAGATCATCTATATGTAGAGATACCAATATACCAATCACATAACCAGGGTCAGAAAAGTGATAGCTGGAAAAATAATTCTGGAAACACTATGGGACAATTGACAGTCAAGACTAAAATATCAGAGACTTCTCAAAAAATTAAAAGTAGAGCTTTCATATGATCCATCAACACCACCTAGAGATATACCTAAAGGAATGTAAGTCAGGTTGCGATAAAGGCATCTGCACACCCATGTTTATTGCAGCACTATTCACAATAGCCAAGTTATAGAAACAGCCAAGATGCCCCACTACTGCTGAATATATTAAGAAAATGTGGCATTTATATACAATGGAATTTCATTCGGCCACAAAGAAGAATGAAATTTTGTCATTTGCAGATAAATGAGTGAAACTGGAGAACATCTTCTTAAGCGAAGCTAGTCAGGTTCAGAATGCCAAAAGCTGCATGTTTTCTCTTATATGTGGAATACTGACCTAGTACAAATATAAGTAATATTATGAAAAACAGATCACAATAATGGGAGGTCACATATGAAAAAGGGACAGCAAAAGAAGGAAGTTAAGAAGGTGAATATGGTTGATGTACTTCCTGTACAAGAATGAACACATAATTTTCAAACCTGTTAAAATCATCATAAGAAGAGGACTAAGGTTAAAAGGAAGAAAATAAAGGAGATGACATTATTCTGGTTATAATATGTATACACATGAAAATGTCACAAGGAAACTCCCTGTATAGTTATCTTAAACAAACAATAATTTATTTTTTTGTGTGTCACAAAATTGGAAAACAAGAGGGCAGAACAGATGCTGGACCAATCATCCTGACAATTGGTACCAGTGGGAAGAGGGGAGGATGTGGTGATAGGGTGTAGGAGGGTGAATATAGTAGAAATATTATGTATTCGTGTATGTAAATGGAAAAATGAGACCTGTTAAAACTATTCTAGGAATGGGGGTAAGGGTGTTAAGAATACTGATAGAGGGGTTAAATCCAACTATGAAATATTCTAAGAACTTTTATAAATGTTACAACATATCCCCAGCATAGCAATAATTAAAAAAATAATAAAATATCATCCTAGGTACTTGGTTTAATAAGGATGAATTTATCACTTATTTTCCATTTTGCTGGAGAAAATTATTTTTACTTTTCCTTCATAGTCAATATTTTCCAACTATTAGTTTATAGTTGCACTTACTATAAAGGTTTATTTAGTTATAGAAACTAATCATTTATCTCCTTATCATATTTTTAGATAAAGTAAGAGGATTTATTTTGTTTTAGGCTTTTCACTTTTAGATGGAGATACAATATTTGACTTTCTTATTCCATGTTGTAAGATCCAACACCAAAAAGGGTTAGGAAATTCAAGACACCCCAAGGTTGAGATGGTACCTGCAGTGAAATAAGAAAGGGAGAAAAGAGAACAAAGTGAAATTGAAGAGATACACAAGAACCAAACCATGCAGGGAATTACAAATCTTAGTAAAGTATTTGAATTTCATTTGAAAATATTGTCAAAGAATAGAAAATAGGGCATCCAGTTACTGGTCCAGCAGAAAATTCTCAACAAATCATAAGCAAATCACTTTAAACAGTGCATAAAAAGATTGTACAGCCGAGATTTATTCCAAATATGCAAGACTTCATTAAAATTCAAATATAAATTAATATAATCCACCAAATCTAAGATTTAATTAGACAAATCACTTGTTTATATCAATGTAGAAAAAAATCACTTCACATCCCTTCATTATAACAATTCTCAGAAAAATAGGAATAGAAGGACTGAAGGTATGGCTCACGTTGTATAACTCCTGCTTAGCAAGTAATTGCAAAGCCCTGAGTTCAACCCTACCACCAAACAATTAGGAATACAAGAAAATTTCCTAAATTTAATAAAGAATATCTCTTTATCCTTACTATACAATCAAGAAATCAAGCTCCTTAGTCTTTATCAAATGAGCTAAAATGCATACCCACAGAAACCTGCACAATTATTTGGTACTTATTTGTGTCCTAACATATGGTCTATCCAGGAAAACATTATATGTGTTAATGAGAAAAATATCTGTTTTGCAATTCTTGTATAAAATGCTCTGTAAATGTCTAACAGGTATGTAGACAGACATAAGGTCTTTAACTCTGATATTTCTTTGTTAATT